ACTATTTGCCTATTTGGTCCCCCTGTTGTTGATCGTCCAATTCTACAATTTTGTCTTAGACACTACATACAAAAGAAGGAAATGTTTAAAAGGAATAAATATGAATGTTAGCCAAGAAAAATTCATGTTGAGGGTTCTCTATAGAAAAGAATATAAATATGAATAACTACAATGTACTTGTTTTAGAGCTTTGCTATATGGACCTAAAATATGGGACCAACAGAGGGAGAGTGAAGTGTCCCCCTCCTATTGCATAATGAGTTGATCATCATTAATGATGACCAGCTCATTATGCAATAGGAGGGGGACACCTCACCTGTCCCCTATTGGTCCCATATTTTGGGTTCTTGAAGAATTTTTTCTTATTTTATTATACATTTTAAATGATAGCACATCATATTATCTGTCCCCCTATTGATCCTCATATTTTTGGGTACTCTTTTGCATTTTCTTGGCACTAGGGTTGCTATAGCAAAAGTAGAAAGACGAGTGGAAACGTAGAAGAGAGGATCGAATTAAATATGAGGTGATAAGGGGGGGTTAGTCACCTAGAACTTGAAATTAGAACTGGGATAATCTGTGGGATAAAATTTTAAGGTGTTAGTCACATAGAACTAAACCTAGAACAAAATTTTAAGGTGTTAGTCACATAGAACTAAAACTAGAATAAAATTTTACAGTGTTAGTCAAGCAGAACTTTAACAAAACTAGAATTGGGATAATTGTACAAAATTATCCCACTTTTTTTATTTTTCTATACAAAAATGAGAGTTCTAGTCTCTCAAATTATTCCAAGTTTTAGCTTGGAACTACGTGGTAAAAAACTAGAACTCGTATTTATTTTATTATTTTTTATTTTTTATTTTTTTCTTTACTTATTTCCTATTATGGTTATCACCATCATTAGACCATCATCATAATAATAATTGTCAATATCTTATAGTCTAACCAAAAGTTATTTAATAGTAACGAACATTCTTGTAAGCAATTATCAATTAATAGTAGTAAGTTTAAAATACATAAAGAGTATTTATATCTTCAAAATGCATAAATATATACTTTATGATTATAAAAATTTATCCCACGTTATTTTATCAAAATATCCCGCTTTACAAAATTGTTCCTAGTTATCTCACTAAAATATCCCACTAGCGAAATATTATTCCACTTAAACAATTATCCTATTTTGCATGAAAATGTCCCAATTGACTAACACCCCCTAAGAGAATAATACTATCTCAAAAGTAGAAAGACGAGTGGAAATGTAGAAGCGAGGATCAAATTAAATATGAGGTTAAGAGAATAATAGTTTCAATTTTTGGATAAAATTTACTCTTAATATTGATATGGACCCACCTTAGTTCTCAATGATACTCCAATTATTCCTCGTCAATTCAAACTTAAGAAGTAAAGGTTCTTCTGTCTTCTTTTATTTGAGCTATGAAAGAGACCAATCAAACGCGATGCACTTGGCATTCACATGACCAAAGTGATGAGCGAAAATTACTAATTTGTCAGTCTCACATCTACACCAAACTAAAGGAGACATTAAGGGTGTATTTGGCAACCTCTAATACTGAACATGACTGAGAAGTTCTATTAACTAAAATAATGCTATGTCAATAACCAACATAGTTTTAAAAATCAATATAGGTGTCTGTCTAGACCTAAGTGGTCAGTTTCAATTCAAATATGGGTTTGATTCACACTCTATGTTCTGAGACATATTTACCATCCGAAAAGAGGGGGAAAAAAGACTTTGCCTAAAAAAATAGGATGAGAAAGGGCAGATAGATAGAAATTCTCCATGAAACAGTGTTTTTTCATATCTCTCAAAATAAAATATGTTCCAAACATATATGTCATGGTTTCTTACTTCGCCAGAGTGCAAATATCCAAATTTCACCCTTGTATATACCTTTTTAAGACCCATTGTTGATGCTAAGTAGCAGTCAAAAAATTGTATCCATTTCATGATATTATGTATGGACAGATCTATCATGGTCAATTCCTCAGAAGTTTCTTCCACAATGGACTTCGACAAATGAGATTTTCCAATAAGTATTTAAAGAATCTTTTTTTGTCGGAAGAAATGGTTTATCGAAATAATGAGTTACCCCTTTATTGATATGAGCACGTCTGAGATCAAGTCTCGTTGGTGGATATATCATCCGTCTAAGTCTTGAGTCTCTAGAGAAGCGTGCACTTTTTTGATTTTCTCCATTATTGCCTCCACATTCTCCAACATATCCTGACCTCATTCACCGACTCTGAAAACTTCCCTTGCATCCTCTTAACCTTCAACAAACGCTCCTCCATCTCTAGTAAATAGGGGCACCAAAAAAAAAAAAAAAATGAAATCCCCCTATGCTAATAAAGATATCCTAAGGCCATGTAGGACTTACATGAAGAAAGTTTATTGGGCTGGGCTTATTAGCAATGAGGTCTAAGCACATTGTAAGTAAGCCCATGATGTACTTCTCTTTAATTGGGCCGTAAAAAATCAAGTTGTATAGCCGGTCAATTTGTAGCACTTTGCCACCGAAAGCTTCAGCGTGCGGGGTCCCGTCACCGCCGGTCAGAGATGGTGCCTGCCACAGCGAGACAGTAGACGAGGTACGGCCAATTCACAACCCCATGAACCTTTACAACTAATGAATTTGATTTGCATGCGTATGTTTATAATTGAAATTGATGTTCATTATTTGTATATGCGATTTGAAGAGAGTGTTATATAGTTTAGTCTGCCAGCCGCTCGACGAATTTACTGAGAGAAATATGAATATTTATTTATTTATTTTTAAAGTCAGATGATTGAGTAAAAGATGAATATACATTGCATATTCGCATGCATTCTTACTTCGGGAAAAAAAATGTACGGTTTCGTTTGGATATCATGATGTTTTCCTCCTTGTGTTTTTGTAAAAAAACAACACAGTGTTGTGTTTTTTCCTTAAAATATTTTTAAAACACCATGTTAAGTATTTTTAGTTAACACTAGTTTGACCTATTATAACATTAGTATTAAACATATTATTAATATATTATATATTAATTATAATAAAAAATATTGTAAATAAAATATTATAATATTTAGTTGACATTATTATATTATTATAAGTATTAAATATAATATTGTATAATATATCATAATATTATATTGTACTTTAATGAGTTAATACTATATTATAATTATCATTATATTATAATTATTATATATTTTTTCAAATAATTATATATTTAATTATTTTGGCATATTAATTTGTTATTGTTGTATATTATATTAATATTTTATAATAATGTTATTTTATTATTAATATAAAATTATAATATTATTGATATAATATAATATTGTTAATAATGTTAATATTATGTTATTACTAGTATGTTATTAATAAATTAATATATTATAATTATTTTAATATTATATAATATATTATAGTTTTTAATATGTTAGAGTTTATTAATAGTACTTTATATTATATTACATTTACTATACAATATATTATTATAATAATATTATTATATTGTTATTTTATTTCTAAATATATTACTATTATATAATATTTTATAATTATTAATATATTATAGTAATAATATTATTTTACTTTATTTTATTTTTAAATATGTTACTATTATATAATATTTTATAATTATTAATTTATTATAGTTTATTATTAAAAGTTAATAATATTATAGCGATTATACTATTGTGTAGTATATTATTATATTTATATTATTATTTATTATCAATAACTTTTTTATTATTTTTATTAATTTATTTATATTTTATTATTATTTATTATTATATAATGCATTATTAACATATTAAACACTGGTATTTAATATGTTATTATATTATTGTATAAGATATTTTAATTATTATATTTTTATATTATTTAATTAATATTACTAATATATTAAATTAACTATAATATAGTATAGTATGGTATAATATAATAAGCATGTTGATAATAACTCTATGTTAATTACATTTAATATATTATGTTAGATATTATATTAACACATTCTCGAACTCAAAACCAAAACACCAAACTGAAAACTTTTAGGTGTTTTGAAATAAGTGTTGTATTTTTGGTTTGAGGATGATTTAGTTCAAAAAATACCATGGTTTCCAAACGCATGGTGTTTTATTTTTTGCAAAAACACCATGGAAACAAGTAAAACACCATGATATCCAAACAGAACCGTAACTAATGATAATCGTTGTTTTGTTATCCCTTCTTAAGTATATAGCTTTTCTTTCTGCTTTTGTTTATGCTGCTAAGCTTACTATATCCCATTGCTTCTTGCAGCATCAAATACAATAAACCGTTGATTTTCGAGGTTAGGTTCCATTAGTTTATTTTTTCATAAGGACAGTAATAAGTAAGGAGCAAAGGATTCTTGCTATGTATGCGAATGATAATGAATATGCATGTTGATCTTAAAAGTGACTCTTGTACTTCAGGAATTCAAATTAGGAATTTGTTAAGAGTATCTGGGCATTCGTTAGGAAGGAGAGAGATAGAAAGAGGAGTAAATCTCACAAAACTACCATAAACTACTCCTAACTAGAAAAAACACCGTTCAACTCGGTAAAGTACCACATACGATCAGAAAGCTATCGAGAAATTAAATTCATTTGTTACCATAAAACTATCACATATTGCTTTTTGATAGTATTGAAAACTTTTCTGATGATATGAAAGTATGATATTTATGGTCCTACATTCCTGATGGTTCATGGTGATTTTGTGAAACTTACCCAAAATAAGGGCATTGTCTGGGTAAAACTTGTTGGTTGCATTTTGGTTCTTGGTATCATTTATGGATAACTGGGATCTGATATACACTGCTGACAGCTTGAAGAGATTTGTGGCTTTGAGAGTGAAGGATAGGATAATTCATCAACCTAAGAAAAAGACACATGATGAATGTTATCCAAATTCATCCTAGTTGGCATCATTTCATTAGCCATGTCCTCAACCACTCAATCCAAGCAATCCATGAGAACTCATCTACATCGCAAGCTCACTCCCTAAAAAAATCTCAATCCTTCACCCTCCAAAATCAAAATCATCTCTTTTAACACTTCCACCCTCTGTGAACTTACACCACATACTACAAGCAGAGGCGAAAAAAATGGCAGCCATGGCAGTTGCTGGATTAGGAGGATCTCCTCTTTGTGTCTCTCGCTCTTCGTCGAAGCCAGCTCTTAGCTCTGGTTATTTACTTACATTAATAAAAAGAAATGATCTTTCTATTTTTTATGTATTATAATCTTATGACTTTAATGGCTCTTTAAAATATGTCTGTAGGTTTCCTGAGGTCTCAGGTGGCTGCTAGGAACCCACTTCAGCAGAAGCTTGCTTCTGGTGGAAGGTTCACCTGGTAAGAGTTTTTATGTTTGTTTTTAATGGCTTTATATTTGAATAAATTTAAGTATAACTAGCTACATGAGTTTTCTTGCACTTTTGATGATATATATTCTTCAAAACTTGTAAACCTTTGCTTTCATAAAGACATTGCATTCAAGGGTGATGCAAGAATATTTGGAATTTGAATCTTGTTTATTCATGAAACCGTTTTCTAAATCAATAAACGTTTAGTTTTATTTAGGACAATGGCAATTCATTCCGAATATAAACAGGCTACATGAGTTTTATTGCACTTTGGTTATATATTCTTCAGAATTAGATAATTGAAGTTTAGGGGTGCAGCTGCCCCCTACGGCACCACAAGGATCTGCCTCTGATCATAGGATTTTATTTTGGTTTAGGACAATGGAAATTGGTTCCGATTACATACCACATACTATTCCTCATGAATGGTACTCACTCTTAGTTTTCATAACTATACCATAAATAATAAACGTTTTTGGCTGAAAAGTGGATTTTTTTTTTCGTGCATTGGGTAGGATCTGAAGCTCAATGGCAGCTTCCTCTAGAACTCATTCATCATGCTCAGTTATAGTTTCAGGTCTTAGTTCTCTTTGTTGAGGTACTTAAAGAAGTTTGCATACTTCTTCATAGATGCTCGTTAAGATCTATTGGAAGCTGAAACATGCCTTTTTCCTCACATAGTATCACTTAATTTCCCCCTCTTATACATCATTTGAACGGAAATTTCTATCCGAAATTCGAAGGCTATAAATCCAGATAACCACCTTAGTAGACCTAACTATTCCCAATCTTACTTTATATCTGGTTTGTTACTCAAACAGTAGCTTTCAAAGGGATTGGCTTCGCAAGGACCTGAATGTGATTGGATTTGGGTTGATTGGTTGGCTTGCTCCTTCTAGCATTCCAGCAATCGACGGCAAGAGCTTAACTGGTCTCTTCTTCGAGAGCATTGGCACTGAGCTCGCTCACTGGCCAACAGGCCCTGCACTCACTTCTCAATTCTGGTAATCATAAAAATTTTAACATTTGCACCATAAAATAATTTAAACGCCGTTCTATCTATTTTTATTTATTTATTTATTTTGTAGGCTATGGATGATTACATGGCACCTTGGTCTGTTTCTTTGTCTCACATTTGGTCAGATTGGATTCAAGGGGAGGACCGAGGAGTATTTCTAAGAAGATATCGTACTCTCTTTCTTTCTTTAGACTCTGTACACTTCTTACTCTTCTTTATAGATGGAGATGATGCTTCTTTTTCTCCACACCCTTTATTCTTATGAAGTGCAATTCCATGATGGCTTTCTTCAATATTAAATTTTCAGTGAAATTAATAGCTCAAATTTCACAAAATCTCCTGAACTTCATAAATCATAGAAATGCCTAAACTTTCAAACCTATACTAAACCCTTCTAAATAGTTGTAAAATCTCATAAACAACATTAGTGGATAGAATAATAGGTTTGAATTATGGAAAGTCAATGTTTCTGATGAAAACTATGAATACAGAGCAGGTCACATTTGTTCTTGTGGAAGAACAAAACACAACAGTCTGGTCATATTTTAGATTTCCTCTATTTGATAACGCTATTTATGAGGTTTTCCAATGGTTCAGGGGATTTAACATATTTTGAAAGTTAAGACAAGGTTTCTTTGATTTATAAAGTTTCGGGGTTCTGGACAAAACCCCACAAAGTTCAGAAAGGTTTGTGAATTTTACTCAATGAAATAAGCGGTGTTTATATCACAAAGTTTATATTATTCCTTAACTGCTCAAAAAAATTTGCAGTCTGTCTATTGAAAAGAACATTGTTGCTTGTTCCCTTTCCCTTTTCCTCAAAAAAAAAAAAAAAAAGCAAATTGATGAGCTAAAACAATTGGAGAACTTGTTGATGCTAGGACCATGACTAGGGATCAGAGGGCCTTTTGGAGTCATAGTAATATTGTTTAAGCCAGCTTGATATAATGCTGACCTCCCTCTTTCTTACATTTTGAAGCCATTTTGGATCTTCATCTGTTGAAAAAGTGTGTGTCTCAATGAATAGGTAGTGAGATCATCAAAGACCAACCTTTTGGTTCAACTATAGCTATTAAGCTATTGGATAGAGATTTCAGTACACTGTCGTAAGGAACATTGTCATTAGAATGCTTCCCTTAAACAGTTAAAGTATGGAACATATTTTCAGTTTATTTGGTTAATTGAGGATGGACCTCTTTGTAGTTCTTTTGTTGCAGATAGACCCCTGAATGAAATTTTTTCACTCTTTTACCCTCAGGAGGTCTATTTTTCAGAAAGCAAATTTCTCTTTCTGTGAGGGTAAAAGAGTAAAAAAGTTCACTCAGTGGGTCTATCTGCAATGATTGAACTGCAGAGGGTTATCCACAACTAACCCAAGATTAAAAGTTTGAGTAGTTACCCTCCACCGCTCCATGGATCTCTGAGGCCATTGAAGAAGATGATATTGCTAGCAAACCGTTTCAATACTCTCCTTACATCCTATAACAAGAAAACCATTAACATTAAGGATAAAACATTGAGCTAATCAGAGTTTTAAGTAGACTAACATGTCCGCCATATTCTGTTGTGATTGCATGCTGCCTTGGGGTCACATTATAGGTTTCTTTGCACCCTGCTGCCTCGTCAGTGTAATTGTATGTTGAGACTGGAAATATGCTCTCTTCGTTGTTTGCTCCGTTTGGTAGAATCAGTTCTGTGCAACTCTACATCAATTTCGGGAGTTAATATGGCATTTTATTGTATGTATTAGTTGTAATCATAAAGATGTTTGAGATGGAATGTACAGTAATCACAAAGTCAACAACATTTTGGGTGTTGGCTATATAAATCATATTCTTCATTCAGTTTGGTTTAGGTGAATCTCCTCCTTGAAGTTAATCAACTATCATTATATTCTTCTTAACTGCTTTCAACCAAGCTCTTGGACATCTATTTTTCATCCTTCCCTACTCCTTAAATGTAATTCTTGCATTTTGTAGAATGTTCAGCAATCACAATAACAATAAAATTGAAGTTAGAGCTCTATTTAGGGTATGGTTTTGATGTATACTATGTCTGGATTATTGGTGTCAGTTCAATGATGGAGTGGTATATTTGAGAACGGTATATCCAGTAATCAATATCTGTTACACTGAATATACAGTTGACAGGTTCTGTTTAATTTGTTCCATGCATATAACAACAATGATAATAGAACTTTTATACCAAAATTTTTCCAGCAAGTTTGCATAATTTCTTTCGATGCATATATTATATACATACTAAAAAAAATGTACAGTTTCCAGAAGAAAATTTGAGCATATTCCATTTGAATTTCTCACCTGCCAACTCCATGCATCAGTGCCAATGGCATCAGTACCATAAGTAGTGGGATCAAAACATTTCACATCTCCACTGTTATTGTAGTATACATTCATTGCCCCGTACAATCTAGCAAAAATATCACTCCCTGCTGTAGGATTATCAATTGCCTCACACATCTGCAATTATTTTCATTTCAGTCCATTCAAAAATATCATTGCATTAAAATAATAACAAAGCAATATGTTAATCAAATCATCTTACCTTTTTAACGGGATAACCTGGCAATGGACTTAGAAACTTTGAAGCTGTAGGATAATCTGTCATAGCGACGTAAATGAGTGAATATTCAATCCAATTCTTGATTGTGCTTGGTAAATACTCATCTGGTACCAGTCCTCTGTAATAATAAGTAAATTGTGATCAATACAGTGATCAATTTGTGTAATAGATAGAAGAAGAGATTAGGGGTTCATACTTGCATATATGAAAAGATTTTGTTAGTTTCTGAACTCCACCCCTTTGCTTGGCAGTCTTATATAATGCATCCCATGAGTTTTTTAGGATTTTATAACAGTTTTCGCTTTCGCTCTAGTACGAAAACAAGGAATTATTTCAGTGATAAAGAAAGCTTTGTGAACATAATATAGGCAATTAAAGTGAGGGGAAGGAGAACTACCCTAAAATCTTTTGTGATAATGTTACTGAATGCGTATGGAGACACAATGTCATCAAATTGGAGAATAGGAGCAGATGATGCCAAAGCTCCAATAGCCACATGAGGGTATTTCAGTCTAAACCATGCCGCTAACACTGAACGAAAAATGTTATAGTAGAAAAACCAAAAACATTATCAAATCAAAAAATTGGAAGGTTTCTACTTATAATAAAAAGGGTTAATTGCAGACAAACTCCCTGTACTATAACCATACTATAACCAAATTGAACTTACCATCTCTGAAGTAGTTTTATTGTTGCAGGTAGACCACGGAAAAAGGGTCAAAATAATTTCACTCAAGGGGATCTATCTACAATAGAACTAGAAGGGTAGTAAATCCAATTGGGAATAGTACAAGGGGTCTATCTGCAATTAACCCCAATAAAAATCCTTACTTCCTCCATAAGAACCTCCAAAGACCACCACAGGAGATCCTTCAGCAGTTAAATTTTTCTTCAGATCAATAATCAATGTTGCAAAATCTGCAAGGGCTTGTGTTGTGCTTAGATATCCAAGTGTAGTTGCATTCTGGAAAGCTACATTTTTATCACCACAAAAAGGAATTGACTCTCCATAATATCTATGCTGCAAATTATAACATCGAACAGTTAGCATCTCACCAACTATAACTAATTCACATGGTTTAAATGCAATAAACTAGAGATTCACATTGGTTAGGCACACTAATTACCAAATTCACATGGAGGAACAGCTATATACCAACCAAAAGATATATATATATATATTTAGAAGAATCTTAAGTTTGTTTTGGAGAAATTTGAGTTCTCTTCAATGAATGTGCGTTATTCCCAAATAATCAATTTGCCTTACTTTTCACTCTTCATTTCTATAGTATTATCAATTTGCCTTGGTTTTTACTTATTCTCTCATCATGGCACACTCATGATGCAAAGAAGTCCTAGTTGGCATACTCACAATGCTAAGATACTTCTTTCTCTAACTAATAACTTCCTAAATACATAGCTTTAGTTACTCAAACAGAAAATCTAGAACTACACGAAGTTCAAATTCGTACCTCCATGAAGACAATGAGGGCCTTGAAATATGGCGCAATATCAAACAGGAAACCTGTATTCTCTGCAAATAACTCGATATCTCCTTCATTTCCGGTGTAAACGAAGATTGGTGATCCGCTCTTCAATCCACCCCAATGCCGATCATCAAACAAATATTTCTGCTGAAAAGTTTCGTAACTCTGAGGTTGGTAATTGAAATGGTCTAAAGTTTGTGTGAAGTATTTGACATCATAAGTGACTTTATCGGATTTTTTCAGAGGTTTGGATCCAATGAGACCTGCAGGGAATCTAGAGATGGCTGCATTCAAGAGAGAAGGGTAAAGAGATTGGAGAAGGAAGAAGAAAGAGAAGAGAAAAGTTATTGAGGGCATCATGTTGTTGTTAGTGTTGGAGAGGATGAGGAGGAATATATGCAAGTTTAGGTTTGACTATGGAGTTGTTTGTTGTCAAAGTTGGTTAGAAAAACATGGGATTTTCTTGCTACTATGACTAATACGGATTTTTGTGATACAGCTCTTCTCCTCTGTAACAAGCAGTATTAAATTGGTGCTCATGTTTTGTGATTATTGAAGGAGAAACTAGTCAAACAAAGAATTAATATAGAAGAAGACAGTAAATTATATTTGATGCTCTTAATCAGAATCCAATATCAATTTGCAAATCTACTTGCCATTCATTAATCAAATAATTTAGCAAATTTAAAATTTGATTCCCAATTATCCAATGTTCAATGTTTCTCCTTAAAATAAGCAGCAACTTTCTATTAAGAATTCGATCGATTGCTCATCATGTGATTCTTGTATCTATTTTGAAGTACATTACCATGTTTAAATATAAGTAATAAACTGACGTAATAAACAGGTAAAAATTAACACCCAAAAAAAAAATTTGGTAAAAATATTACAATGAGTAGTGATAACTAGAGTATAGAGTTGAGAAACAAAATCCAAGAATTACCAAATTTAGGTTTTATTCCCAGTAATAGTGCCATGTTTAAATATGAGCATATCTAAACTTGTTTTGTAAGTAATTTTATTACCCGGTTCGACGAGATTTAAATCCATTACTGTGATGAGATAGGTTCAAAAGCTTAAGATTGATTGTCATGATATCCATAACTTTTCTTGAAGATTCTTACCCTCTAGAAACTCAGGAATCGTTAAAATAAACTATACAATAATTTGCAAAATGAGCAAGAGAAAAAAAATATATTATTACCATCCCAATTTTTTTTTCTTGAGGGCTACAATGCTCTTTAATTTTTTAAAACCTTGTGAGTATGATTCCTCTCAAGTACACCGTAGGTGTTTCTAATAAAGCAACTATGGCATCCATCCTTGTAATAGGAGCACGTAGACGACAAGCAGATATGTTACTTTTCTTAAAGTACACTCAACCTCCAAACATTTTCAGCATTTTGTAGTAAACCCCCAACAACTCTAAAAATCGCACTAAATCCATAATAACTTTCATATTTTGCAAAATACCCTCAGTAAGTTTTTGCATATTGTTGATAATCCCCATAAATTGTACTTTCTTGGGCATGTTCCATTAAGCTCTATTTAATGAAAAACAGGGATAGTTACCCACCATTTTACTAGAAAAATACTTTTCATCAAAGATATTGTACGTTTGCTCTTCAAGATCTCGATTTCTGGAGGTCTCAAAATTTTATCAGAACAACTAACGTACTAACAAGGTGTTATTGTTGTAAACTTAACCATGATTAATTCAAAGAGAATAATCACAAGAACGCGGAAGCAATACCTGAATCCATGACGATTTGAGCACGGATCTGAATTAGGGTTTGATCTTCTAATCTGAAAGGTTTCTCTTGAATATCTCTTTAGATGAGGATTAGAAAATAAAGAACGTAACCTTTAGATTGGGGACCATAACTCTTTTTTATAGATTTATAATTTTCTAATTTAGCCCCTCATAAATTAGAATTATAGTCTGGAATCTGCACAATTAGCTCATGGTTTACTTAAATACTCATTAACTCAAATTGATTGATCACTTTATGCGGGTTAACATTAAGGATAGCATTATATACTAATGTAACATATATGTCTATAATTAGATTTAATCCAACAATCTTCCACTTGGGCACTATATGTTTCATTAAAACGTGTACAACCTTATGAGCTCAGAAATTGTAAGGACCATGAATTTTTGATACTAGTTAGAATAATTTTTTAATATTTTAAAATATTTAATTATTATTTTTAAAAAAATATTTGTATTTTTCTTGATTTTCTATAATTTTCTATGATTTAAAGTCTAAGTTTTATATTTATTTAAATAATTTAGAAATTTATAAATTTACTTAGTGCAGTAAATTTTTTTGGAATTTATCCGTTGTGTTATCGATACTATTACGTATCATTTTAAATAATATGTTGTATTATTATTATGATTACATATTATTTTGAATAATACGTTGTATTATTAATTATGTATTATTTGTATAATTTGTTGTATTATTTCTACTATTGTATATTATATGTCGTATTAGTATAACTTGTACGTTTTATTGTGTAAATAATTCTTTCATAATTATTTGATTTTAAATATGATTAAATATATTTTTTATTAATTATTCTCGTACAATTAGTTGTATTATTTTCACTGTTACATATTATCTATCGTATTAGTATAACTGGTATGTTTTATCGCATAGGTAATTATCCTATAATTATTTGATTTTAAATATAAATGATTGTATTTTTAATTATTATTCTTATTTAATTGTACAATTTGTTGTATTATTTCGTCGGTTACATATCAGGTATTATATTAATACAACTGGTACGTTTTTAATTATAGATGATTATTTCGTAATTATTTTAATTTTTAAATATCAGTAATTATTTATTTTAATTAATTTTTGTTTAATTATCTAACCCTAACCCTAATTAAACTATAATATAAATAACCCTCTCCTCTCTCTCTTCTATGTTTCAGCTCGCCCTCCCATACCTCTCTCTCGCACCTCTCCTTGTTTCTCTCCCCGTCGCCGGTCCCTCACCCAGCGACCCGTCCCCTACCCAACCTCCTTCCCGTTCGACGAACTACCACCACCGGGCCTCCTCCTCGTCGACCGTGCCCTTCCCTCGACCAGCACGCCACGTCAGTCCCGCCGAACTGCCCGAAGACCAGCCGCCTGCAGGCGCCGCCTCGGAGTCGCCAGCATCCCCTGCGTCGCCGATGTAGGCTCAACCCCATCTCTCTCCCCAAACCAAGGTGACTGAGCGACCACCACCCAACTATCCGACGACCTCCTCTCCCGCATTTCCTCAACCAAGCCGCTCCGTCGAGGGCCCGGCCGCCAACCAACCCAGCCCTCACTCTAATTCCTCCCTCTCGCTATCGTCATATAGGCACGACCAGCCGCCGGCGGGCCAACGACCTTAAGCTCCGCTGTCCTCGATCTGTTAGACCCTAGGGGGTGATTAGGGTCTTATGCTAATCTAATCCGATTTTATGCCAATTAAAACTTATTAATAAATTATTCTTGTCAGATAGATATACAATATGTTATGAGCAAGAATATGCAATATGATCAAAGAGATATATCCTATATGGTGAAACATATGCAAGGATATATAAACAACACAAGGTTAAACAATCTAAACTAAATATACAATTGTGATAGGGTAATATAAACAATGCAAACACACAATATGATCACGGAGTTCGGACCTTCCGTCCTACGTCTCCGCTCCCCACTCCCGGGGAGAAATCCACTATCACAACCGGGTTTTTTACGCTCACCCGAATAACGTTTACACCTCACACTCGGTTTTCTAGCTAACCGAAAACTTTACAATCTCACACTCTTACAATCCCACTTTACACCATCTTAAGCATTGGTCTCTAGTCTGTGTCTCTCTCAAGTGTTAGAAATTACAACCTCTCTTTAGGCATTACCACCTACTGCACTCCCCTTGGGACGACCCCTTCTTTCACCACACACTCCTCTCGGTGTACAAGTGTATTACAAAGTGATCTACATAATTAAGGCTCACAAATACAAATTTGTTCTCTATAATAGATGAGAACTCAATTAAGCTCACTCTCAATTGTTACAACTCCCCACAACCCAATTATACAATGTAGCAAATACAACAAACTCAATGGTTGTGTGTGTAAGCAATGAGAAAATTAATCATAAACTCAATGTAAACCCTAGCTTGATGAAAATGATAAACAACAAATAATTAATACAAAACTAGTGTTGAGTTTAGAAATTCTTCTCTGAAAAACAAGATGGAGAGATGGATTAAAATGAAGCTTCAAACAATGTAGATGATCTCCTCCACTTGTAAGAAACTTCTTCACAAACAAACTCTTTTAAAACACACTAAACAAACTTTAAAACCCATGTTAAATTTGTTTAAAACATTTCTTGGATTATATGGAACTGAGGATATGTAGGGGTATTTATAGGAACCCCAAAGCCAAGAGAAAACAAGGCAAAAAGGCCAAAAACCCAAAAATAGTACAGTCTGGAAATATAGCCGTTATAATGTTATGAGTCGACTCAGAACTGTTCATGAGTCGACTCATAAGTAGCCGTTACAGACTAAAAACCAACTTATGGGTCGACTCGTAAAATTCATGAGTCGACTCATCATGCATGGGTCGACTCATGAAGTCATGGGTCGACTCAGCAGAAACAAAACACACTTTCCAGTACAGTTTATGAGTCGACTTATGACAGACACGAGTCGACTCAACCTGATGGGTCGACCCATGATGTTTATGAGTCGACTCGTCAGAAACAAAATGTAAACTACACAACAGTTTATGAGTCGACTCAACACTGTTTATGAGTCGACTCAAGACATGCACACAGCATGTTTTAAACAGTATATGTCAACTTAAAACAGGGTTTGAAAAATATCAAATAAATTCCAAAAATTATGAAACTTTGGGAAATGATTATAGACATGATAATAAACATGCTACAAAAACTAGTTTTTTTAAAAAGACCTCCCAAATAAAAAATATCATCATTTTGCAAAATAGTCCAAAACATGAAAATGTAAACGCACGAGTTTTAACATTTTAGCTTAACCATATTTTGAAACATTACAAAATGATTTTGTCAACTTAATAAAAGATGTATATGATTATTGTTAAGTCCAAAAACTAAGAATATAATATTTTTACAAAATTGTATATTTTACAAACTTTTCAAAAACAATAAATATGATTTCATTGAACTAAATAAAATTGATATTGATGAAATCATATATATGCATATAAGTATGAAACAAGAAATATATTTTTAATTGTATTCAATTATTTCATATTAAAACTTGAAAACTATGAAACCAAAACATATATGTATATATATAACTATATATATACATAGAAACCACAATTAAAGTGTGTATATATATATATAACTACATATATATACAAAGAAACCAATAAAATGTGTGTGTATATATGATTGAGCTTAAAGTACTTAACACACATAATATAAACTCCTAAACTAGATTACCCAAGCTAGATCTTGATCTTCAATAAGCTCTTCTTGGT